CCTATAAAGGAGTAAATAATAAACTTGAGAAAGCATATACATTGCTATTGTGGGTGTTCTGCAGTAATTTTCAATCACTCAGAAGTGGGATTAAGTAATCCCAAATATACCAGCTATACATTTCTGCTTATCTGGTAATGTGGTACAAAAATACCTCAGACGGGAAGGGCAGAAAATAGAGAGAAACTTGTAGCCAATTGTACCAAAGCCTTAGTCTCCATCAGTTTGAAGGCCAACCACCAATATAGTGACCATGACTGCAGAGGCCTAGCTTGTGAAGTTCACACCCATTTGGATCCTTTCTAACAGCCCCCTCCTTTATCTAAATTTACATTCTATAATAATCATTATTTTCTTGATTTGGCTCTTTAGTTTTAATTTTAAAAATACATTCTAATTTTAAAGATATTATTCAAATTCCATTCACTATTTCATGTATGAAATAAAATTTGCATTTGCCAAACAAAAACATTATACCTCTTAGTTCACCACTCCATTTTATTGTTTAAATAGTAAATACAAAAACTCTGTGATGTGTGAAATGAATTTTTGTAAAGGATGACTCAGCCTACATTTTAACAGGAGTGAATATAAATCAGTTTTCTGTGTTTGAAAATGGGAAACAAGCTTTCCTACCCAAAATAGGCCTTTTTCTATAAAAATGTTTTTTTTTTCTCAAAAGTAGTTAAAATTGTAAATACGTATGCCCTAGCATGTATAAGCAAATGGGTACCTTACTCTACATTAACTAAAGTATTGTTTAGAACTCAATACAACTAATTTTGTGGGGTGGGGGCATATTTTATCTTTGACATTGTTTAGAATTGCCAGCATATGGTGACAATAAAAAGCAGACCAAATTCTAGTCAATTTTTTTATTGCATTTAAATTCATGACAAGCCACATGCTCCTTATTGTTTACACTGGAGGTAGAGTGCTCCCAAGGCTCTGCCCTTGGCTTGTCACTAGCACCAGGCCAAGGCACAACCATAATCCAAAGTCCTACAAGAAAGCTTCCTGGCCCTGACTGGTGTGGCTCAGTTGGTTGGGCATCTTCCTGGAAAGCCAAAGGTCACTGGTTCGATTCCTAGCCAGAGCATATGCCTGGGTTGTGGGTTTGGTCCTCAGTCAGGGTACATATTTGAGACAACCGATCAATGTTTTTCTCACATCAGCTTCTCTCTCTCTTTCTCCCTCTCTTCCCCTCTCTCTAAAAATAAGTAAATAAAATCTTTCAAAAAAAAAAAGAAGAAAAAAACCTGCCTGGACACAAAGTTTCCACCTTTAGTTGAACCCAGACATAACAACCAGCAGGGTGTATTGCTGGATACCTGAGAGAACTGATAAAATGCTGGATCAATTTTTAAAATGATGTACAAACAATTTCAGTACTTTTGAGGGGGTGGAAATGTTATAAAATGTGATTCCAATTCTCACATCTTGATTAGTGGAAAAATGCTTTCTGTAGTTGTTTACTTTTCATTTTGAATTGTAAATATTTATTGAATGAATGAAAAGACAGAGGATCAGGGTGAGTCTATGACAGGGAACTCTATTTACATATTTATTTGAACCCACATCTTTCAATTTACTAAAAAAAATGGCAATGAGATTCCCTAACCAGAGGATTCCCACAAAAACAAATAAACAGGTCAATTGAACAAGTATCCAAAGAGCTCGGCACCACATGGCAAGTCCAGACCAGCAATTGTGTCTGTGAGATCCAGAGCACAGAAAGAAACCTGAAGCCTAGGATGGCCAGCTTTGCAGCGAATGCTGGAGAACGGCAAACAGCTCTCCACCTTGTCTGTGGCCCTCATTGCTGACATGAGGAAGAGAGCCAAGAAAACAAGCAAAGAGAATACAATTGAATCTTCCACTTTGGAAGGCCCGGCAGATCCAACATGAAATACCACGTTGTCCATGAAGACAATGCTTCTGATCATGTGGGGTGTTCTTTCACTTGGCCATAAACTCTAACCCTAGAGCATTTATTATCAGCGAGGGCAGGCATCTGAACTAAGGGTCAGAGAAAAGAACCCATTTTCCTCTGTGGCTGTCAGAATACAGGGGTTTTCTCGCTTTTAGACTAACCCTCCCAGTAGCAGATAATAAAGGTTTCTAATTTCTTGCTTTCCTTCTGTTGATCTTACTCTAGTCCCTTCATAAAAGGATGAAGTAGAGAAGAAGCTTATTTCAGAAAAAAAATTGCTCCATAACAAATAGAGAGACATTCACATGCAAAACCATCAACTCCAAGCTTTTTTTTGTAATGCATATTTTTTCCTCCTTATATTGGATAGTGAGTACACTACCGAAACCACAAGAGAAACAGTAAAAGCAATGTATTTGGAGTATACTTTTAAGGTTCTATGAAATCTCCAGCTCCAAATGATTTGAAACAAATTTTAGCTAAATTTGATGCTTCATTCAAATTGCAAAAATCATAATTAACATATGACATAAAAACTAAATCCATATGTGAAATGCTTACATAGTCAGATAGGTATTAATATGCATGAATATCTCCTCAATGATTTTTTATCCTCACCTGAGGATATTTATAGATCTTAGAAAGAAAGGAAGAGAGAGAAAGAGAGAAACATCAATTCAAGAAACATCGAGGGACTTCCGCCAAGATGGAGGTATAGGTGGAAACACCTTGCATCCTCGCACAACCAAACCTAAAAACAACAAAGTTTTAACAACAATAAAAGCAATCAAACCACACAGAAAATCGACAATACGGAGTCTGAAAACAATGAAATGCTCAGCTAAACCAGTAAAAGGGGCGAAGCCAGCAGCGGAGCAGGTTGGCCAAAAAGATCCGCAACCAGGGGTGAAGCGCAGGCAGCAGAGGGTGCAGATCCCAGGTGCGGGCTAGCTACCGGCAGACACAGGGAAGAGGCACAGCTGGCTGTCTGCGGTCAGTCGAGCATTTGCGTGCAGATAAACCAGTGAAGAGGCGAGAATTGAGACCGCACGGCACAGGGCAGCGGGCTGGCACATTTCCACTCAGAGAAACAGGCGGGGGGGAAAGTGGTGGGACAGACTGGGCGAGCAGAGAGGAGCACCAGTGCTCCCTCTCTGACCCCGCTCCCACATACAGCATCACAAACCAGCGACCTGGGTGGCCCCGCCCTGGTAAACAACTAAGGTTCCGCTCCTCGTATCTAACAGGCACGAACAGATCAAAACATGGCTCAAAAACAACTCACAGCCCCAGAGCCCATAAATCTAAGCAATGAAGAAACAGCCAAACTTTCAGATGCACAGTTCAAAACACTGGTGATCAGGATGGTCACAGAACTGGTTGATTTTAGTCACAAATTAGAGGAACATATGAAGGCTAAAGTAATTGAAATGAATGGTAATGCACAGGAAACCAATAATAATGGAAAGGAAACTGGGACTCAAATCAAGGGAGTAGACCAGAAGGAAGGAAAAAAAAAATGACCAAACAGAAAAGAATGAAGAAACAAGAATTCAAAAAAATGAGGAGAGGCTTAGGAACCTCCAGGACATCTTTAAACTTTCCAACATTCGAATTATAGGGGTACTAGAAGGGGAAGAGGAACAGTCATGAGTGGAAACCTTATTTGAACAAATAATAAAAGAGAACTTCCCCATTCTGGCAAAGGAAATAGACTCTCAGGAAGTCCGGGAAGCTCAAAGAGTCCCAAAGAAGTTGGACCCAAGAAGAAACACATCAAGGCACATCATCATTACATTAGCCAAGATTAAAATGAAGGAGAGAATCCTAGAAGCAGCAAGAGATAAGGGGACAGTCACCTACAAAGGAGTTCCCATCAGACTGTCAGCTGATTTCTCAAAAGAGACCTTACAGGCAAGAAGGGGCTGGAAAGAGGTATTCCAAGTCATGAAAACCAAAGACCTACAACCAAGATTGCTCTATCCATCAAAGTTTTCATTTAGAATGGAAGGGCAGATAAAGTGCTTCTCAGATAAGACCAAATTCAAGGAGTTCATCATCACCAAGCCCTTATTATATGAAATGTTAAAGGGGCTTACCTAAGAAAAAGAAGATAAAAAAGATGAACAGTGAAAGGACAGCAAACTCCTTGACAACTGTTGACAACTGTTGATAACTGTTGACAGTTATCAACAACCACACCTAAAACAAAAGCAAATTAAGAGGACAGCTAGATCAGGAGTAAACCATAGAAATGAAGATCACATGGAGGGTTAGCAACAGGGGAGTGGGAGAAGGAGAAGGGGGAAGAAGGTACAGAAAATAAGTAGCATAGACAGTAGATAGAAAATAGATAGGGGGGAGGGTAAGAATAGTAGGGAAAATACAGAATCTAAAGAACTTGAGACAAGTGTTCATGAACTAAAGGAAGGGAGTGGTGGGGGAGGGGAACGGGGGGGATAGAACAAATGTAATGGCATATTCAATAAAAAAAATTTTTTTAAAAAGAAACGTCAATAAGTTGCCTCCAATATGCACCCCCTACAGGGGATCAAACCTGTGACCTAGGTTCATGCCCTGACCAGGTTCAACATGCAACCCTTTCGTGTATGGGACAGTGCTCAAACCAACTGAACCTCATGGCCAGAACTCTTCTCAAGATTTCTTAATACATTTATTATAGTTTTATTATTTGAATAGCTAAGGTGCTATGTTCAAAAGGGAAAGGAAAATGTTGAAATTTTTTAAAAAATCTGGATGACATATACTTTGTTTCAACGCTTTCTACTTTCTTAAATGACTCAGAATATTTACATATAATTTTCTCATTCACATAATAATCTGAGATATATTTAAGAAACAAAGTGTCTCCCTTTAAGCCACTCTGCATATATAACAGTATCCTGTCCTCAAAATGATTATAATACTTCTACTCTTGAGACTGATGTGATATGGGAAGAGATTCACAAATCTTCCAAGGGTGATAAAAGAGACAAAGCAAATATTCCATTTACAACATCTAAATATCAGAGCTCAGACACACATGGGTGGAGTAAATCACACTTACCAAAATCTACATGTGTGTACAGAAATGAAAATAAATGCTATATGCACACGCATTTCACCAATTATCTCAAATCTTAAACGTGAGATTATATTTCCAGAGTGGCATCTTGCTAACCTAAAAAAACAACAACAAAAAGTAACTCGATGAACATTCAATAGCAAAGAGTCAGATAGGATCCTCTTACCACACCTCCCACATCTCTGTAACTTCTTAAACTCTCTACCTTCTTAAACAAGCAAGTATCCAAAATCTTCTCATTGCTCTCATATAAGCCAGTGGTCCTTGGATCTAGAGATACACAGGATGTGGCAAAAATAGGTTTACAGTTGTGAGTGTGTGAAACTGATACTATTCTTATATTTTTATTTATTAATTACTCTATTATTTTCCAGATGAACAACGGTAAACCTATTTTTGCCCCACACTTAAAGTTACAAAGGTAAAAGGATGAAGAACTGATTCTTACCAGAGAAAGAAAATAGTATTTCCCAGGTTGAATTTCCTCCTCCTTTTCCTGCAAATTGAAATCCTTGCTCTAATCAGGCTGTTTCCAAACGCACATGAAATGGACAAAAAGGAAGAGGAAATTAAGCATCACAGAATCTGCTTTAGGCACACAATGTCACCTACAAATGTTTCTTGGGCCCAGATAGTGTTCATCTCGCTGCATTATATTTGCTCTTATTAAAACAGATTTTCTCTTAATCAAGATAAAATTAATAGAATTAAAATGGTCATCTTTCTGTTTCCCTTCACCCTTCTTATTTCTCTCTCTCTCTCTCAAGCTTAGAGAGTTACAGAAGATGGGGTTGCTTTGGTTACCATTGAATCAATCTCACCTCATATCCTTTTACAAGTATAAAATTAATTCTGAGTGATTCTGATTATAGCTACTGTACCCTAGCCCTGATCAAGCCTAATTACAATGTGATGCAGGGTCCCCGCCATTGTTGTGTCTAGGTAATGGAGCCTGAATTTCAGCCAGCAATGCCTTGTTAATGAATAGGAGTGATGAGAGGCCTGCTCAACGTCTCCCATGCCCTCTTCTACATCATAGAGAGTGAACTGCATTGATAAACACACTAAGATGGTTATTATCCATTATTCAGTTTTTCAATCAGACAACACCTGGCACAGTGGCAGCCAGGGGCTCTTTACTTCCCTTTCAAATTTATGTGGGCCCCAAACTCTGACACAGTGTAGCATGCCAATTTGCCTTTATTAAAGGAAAGAAGTTACAAAGAAAAGGCTAGGGGGCTCTTAGAGAGGTGCAGTTGCTGTTTTTAAGTCTTCTTGCTCTTTGCAAGGAACAGATATTGGCAGTAATCCTGCAAATGTCAGAGATGGCTTTCAGAGAGGTGGTCTTTTAAATATCAGCCTTTTATGTAAGAAGAACTTACAGACCAAGGAGCTCCCCACCAGCTCCTGCAGACTGGTATGCTTTCAGATTAACCAGACAATGGGCAGTTCAAAGAACAAAGAAATGCATCACTGTCATCTTTGAACCTATAGAAAAGGAAAATCATTGCATGTTGCTTAGTCCTGGCCACTCACTGACTTTCGATTAATCTAGTTCTCCTCGCACTTTACACATCCTTATTTCAAGCATTTGACTCGCTTTAGGGAAGAGGGGTACCTGTCCTTGATGGCAAGTGTATTTCAGATTTCTTTTATCTTTGCGTGATCATAGTTAATGATCATTCTGTTATATAAAAACATTCTGGTAAAGATTGCCAGCAACAGCTAATAGGCAAGTTTTGAGTCCACCAGACAGAGAATCTCTATTTCCTGGACAGCACTAGGAAGATTTTCTGGATCTTAACAACTTCAGAGGTTGAGGGGGAAGCTGAGGGAATGAGAGAGGGAGATATCACAGGGTAGTGGGGTGTGTAGCCTAAGCTTTAATTAGTTTTGCCCATTCGAAACCTCTAAAGTCAGCTTAAACTCGAGTTCTCAGCAGTCTCTGGAAAGCCTTCTTCTGCCACCCATACTTGCTAAAGAACAAACTGGAATCAGAACAGCAATTTAGATCAACATCTGAAGACAGTATATTTAGTCCAATAGTTCTCAACTACAAACACACCTACAGATCTAAAGGGAGTAGTGACCTGCCCTTGTGCCAGGGCTGGTGTGAAAACAGCGCCACAGCCTTAGAGAACTCCTTCTCCCTCCGCCACTCGAACCTTGCTCCCATTTCCCCCCCATCTCTTTCCAGAACAACAAAAACAACAAAGATGAAACAACACAAAACAAAAACAGTTTCTTTTCCAAAAAGTAGTCAAAGTACTTCAGTTTTATAATAAAAGAAGTCAAATTTTCACCAAAGCTCAAGTTGCCACCTAGAAATTTACTCAACTTTATACAAATGTGAGTAACTCAGGGAAGGTCAAAGACTGTAGATTCCACACCATGAAATTATGACCCTGATACCATTTTTCAAAAGTCTTAGAAGGTAAGAGAAGCACAGAATGGCAATGTGCCTGGTACGTCTCCAAAAGTCAAAGCAGGCTGACATCATGAAACCAAGCCTTTCTCAACATTGTTTTTTTTGTCCCACCTCAGAAAGGGACTGTGAGGAGCATGAAAATATGAGTAAGGAAGAATGTAACCTTCCTAAGGTAAAATGGCTATGTTTTGCTCCAGCATTGATAACATGCCATTTTCAAATACATGTGTATTTGAAACCAACAGAGGTTGGTTTTGTTTTGGTTTTTGGCTTGAATCCTATCACAGTTCTCACTGAAATTTTGGCCAAAAAAGAAACTGAAATCAGACTGCCCAAAATCAAAGCAGTGAGAACTAAATCTCACACTTCTTTATTCTCGAGGTGGACACAGGACAGACTCCTTCAGAAAGGGACCTTTTTTAGCAGATGAAAAAAGAGGAGAAGCCACTGCTGTTCAGAAGACTTATTTTACTCACATCTCTGGTTTTAACCACTGACCAAAGACGTCCTGCACTCTACAATATTTCGCAGCTGCCGATATCTCTTCGGACAGAGTCACCAACGAGAGAGAAGCCAGTCCTGGAACCTCAGGTCAGAAAGGGCCTTACGAAGCAACACTATTGAGTAGACGTAGCCTTGCTGCTGCCATGTGTGTGTGCTTGCGTGCAGATATGTGTGTATGCGTGTGTGTGTTCACCGTAAAAGGCAAACACACCTGTAGCTTTCCCCTATTTGTTCATTTGAAAAATATTTATTGAGAACCTACTAGATCTTTGGCACTATTATAGGTGCTGGGGAGACAGCCATGAACAAATCAGACCCCCCAAAGTCCTTGTGCTCATGGGCCTTACATTTGTATGAAAATGCAATATAAATAAAATATGAGGAATGCAAATACATCAACAAATTCAAAGAATAAAACACCATCAAGTACTTTCATAGAACTAAAATTCTAAAGTTCTAAAATTATAGGACTACATAACAATAGGAAAATATGAAAACTGAACAAAAGTAAATAAATATTGCATCCATAAAAAATTTCCTAAAGGCACCATTTTTCACCCATCAAATTAACAGAGCTGTTTTTCAAGAGTTTAGTGAGTCGAGCACCCTCATGTTGCTGGTGGCAATGTGAGGCGTACAAGGCTTTAGGAAAGCAGTTTGAAAGCACATGTCAACCTGAAATTTAAATATGCACAGCCTTCTTCCTCACACACCTATGGACTTCCACCCTGAGTGTGCCTAAAAATCTCAGGGACTTTAAAAGGCGGATTCCTGAGCCCTGGTCTCAAAGATTCAGATCGTGCAGGTCCAGGGTGGACCCTTGGTCTGCACGTATTTCTGGTTCTGATGGAGATAGTTAGGACGTTACACCACAAGAAGAGCTGGCTGGAAGAATCGAGTCCCAGGGAGCAATCAGAAATGTAGGGAAGGATTTACACATAAAGGTCTTGATCTCAGCCCTTATTTGTAATGTTGAGAAATTGTCAACCAACCTAAATTGACATAAGTAAGGAAATGACAACAGTAATGATAATATATTCTTATAAAAGATTATTAAACAGCCATTAAAATGGGCTTGGGGGGATATTTCATAAGGAGGGAAGATGCTAAATGAGAAAAATCTAGATACAAAATTGTGGCATATACACCATATATACATATATATGAAAATAACTGTAAGGAAATACATCAAACTGCTAATAGGGCTGTAACCAGGTAGTACAATTGTGAGAAATATTTATCTTCTTTGTGCTGTTCTATATTTTCTGAGTTTGAACCAATGAGGAAATATTATTTTTATAACCCCAAAATAAATAAATTTAAAAAAATTAAGAAGCCATAAATCTCTTTTCTGCTTCTAAGCAGAAATATACACAAATCATTCCACATATAGCTGACAAGGCTATTGCTTTTTTTCAGGCCCAATTAAGGAAATCTTCTAGAATCAAGCAGTTGTCATATATGTAAAGCCTCTGTTGTCCCTGTTGAAATTTTTTTCTTTTAAATATATTTTATTAATTATGCCATTACAGTTGTTCTATTTCCCCCCTTCATTCCCCTCCACCCTGCACACCCCCTCCCCCATTTCCCCCCTTTAGTTTGTGACCACGTGTCTCAAGTTCTTTAGATTCTGTATCTCCCATACTATTCTTGCCCTCCCCCTATCTATTTTCTACCTACCATCTATGCTACTTATTCTCTGTACCTTCTCCCCCCTTCTCCTTCTCCCACTCCCCTGTTGCTAACTCTGTTGAAATTTAAATCTGCTTCCTCTTACCTCTCCTTCATGGATTTAGATACCAGCCATGTGCTTACTTCCTGAAAGTGTTGCTCACTCATAATGCTGCCCAAGCTGGCTAGTATCTATATATGTCCTGAAGGTGTCCAGGGAAGGACATGTGTGAACTGTCCTTGAGCAGGCAGTGCCTGGGGAGCAGTCTGGTGATTAACTGAAATGGAAGACTTCTCATTTCTGGGATCAAGTGGCTGTGAGGGCTGAAAACAGTGTATCTCAGACAAAATTCTATTCAATAGACTCTTTTGGATGTAATTAATCAATCAATGAGTAACATTTGAAAACATTTGTCCAAAATTCTTCCACAAGTATAAATTGCATGGCAATCCTACAAATCTTACAGAACAATTTGTGAAAGAACACTTCTTAAAAAACAATTTCACAGCCAAGGCCTGATATTCCATGTAGGGAATATACAGTAAAACTACTGGAGGTGAAAAGTCTCTTTCATCCATCTCTTTTTCTTTCCCTCAAATTTGCTCAGGCCCCCATTACCCTATGGTGGATAGGTCCTAACTAGAGCTCTGGGGGCCTAATTTTGACTGTTTCATTCTTTTCCTATAAAGTTTTAATGGTTTGGGGTTTTGGGAAACAATAATTCATTTTCCTTATCTATAAAATTGACTTAAAGATAGATGTTCCAAAGCACATGAGGACTCAAGGAACCTGCTCCACTTCCAGTAGCCAGCCTCTCCCTTCCCACTAAACACCTGTGTTGTTGCTACTAATAATCTAGTTGTATTTATCTTGATATGTAAGGCTTCAGTCCAGCACTCAGCAAACAGGAGACACCTAGCAG